AAAAAAAAAAAAAAAAAGGCCTGCTTGCTGCCACAAGCAGCAACATGGATGAATATTAAGAACATAAAAGCCAGGCATATAAAATAGTTCAAACCATTTACATACAGTTTAAGGAAAGGAAAAATGTTCCATGTGATATATGGTAGCTGACCATCAGTAGCCTGTGAGGAGGTGATGATTAGCTGAGGAGGGAGGGGCCTGAGGGAACCTTCTGGGCGATGGAAATATTCTATATCTTAATCTGGATGGCATTTACTTGGGTGTATACTATATATTAAAATTCATCAAGTTCTCTCCTCTGTACTTGAGATTTGTGAGCTTTATGTAGCTTAATAGAAACTTTAATAATAATAATAATGAAAGTAGGTCATGGAGGGGGCACCAAATTTAGCATGAATGCTTAAAATAGCATCCTTGGAAGAAAAGCGTGGCAAACCTCTGGTCTAAAAACTGCTGAGCTGAACATAGGAAACTTTTCTGAATAAGGACATTTATAGTAATTCTTGTTGCAAAACATTCCAAATCCCGAAGGATGCTTAGCATGCAGTAAATTCACATCCATTTAGCGCAGCAAGGTGAAGGCTGCCGAGCATAGTTCTCTTGATTCCTTGAGGACTGGCTGCTTAAAAGCAATGTCTTTCTTTTTTCTTTCTAGATTGGCAGATTGCTACTCTGGCTTTACTCTTGGGTGGCGCTGCCATCATTCTCATTGCATTCCTGGTGGGTTTGATTTCTATCTGCGTGGGATCTCGAAGGCGCTTTTACAGACCTGTTGCTGTGATGCTTTTTGCAGCAGGTAAATATATTCTTTTCCAACCGGTATTAAAGTTGCGTGAACCTTTCTGCTATCTTCTCATGCAGAAGCAGCATGCATTTGCTGCATTGCATACAAATGGAGAGACATTGGTTGTATTTTAAGATAAATTGGCTGAAGGTTTATCATGTGATCAGTTTTCAGTGTGTTAAGCATTTCACAGGGCGCAGTGGCAATTTCTAAACTTCTAAAAGGTGAATAAATAATAGTTCCTGACGGGGCTGTCGCCTTAGGAATTACAGCAGATGTATTTACCAATAAATAGTCTTTCTTCACATCTAGTCCCCCCCCACCACTCCTTTTACTACCCCCTTGGGGATCTTAAGGCAACATAATTTTTTCTGACATGAAACTAAAAGAAAATTCCAATATATATACATACCCTTAAAGGTATAAATCTATGTGGACATAAACATGGTTATACTGAAAAATCATAATGTATCACTTGTACCACGAGACATTCGAATTGTATGAGGTTAATGGCATACTCATCAATTTAACAACCATCATTTTATGAAGCATTCTGTGATTAAAATATCAACCAAGGTAAAATGGAGTTTTACAAAAAGTCAGGGAGCTATTTAAAAAGGGAGTTTATAAGACTAAAAGCCCAGTACATTGTTTTGTGTGTTTCAATTTTCATTTATAAGAATAGCCTTGAATATATTGTTCTTTTTGACTCAAACTGTGATATTCTTGTGGTTCCTTCAGTTTACCCTGTCATTCATACCTGATTTAAAGACTGCAAAATAAGCCCCTGTAACTGTCAATAATGAAGACACTGACAGAACCATCTAGACTGTTAGGTGGATTTTTTTAAAGATGGGAATAGATGAAATTTCTCAGGATTTGAAGGGTAGTTTGAGCTAAAAATATAAAATCAAGTGTTCTGCTGCCCCCTGCTGTTCATGTTCAGTGTCTATCTTCCTATAACAATGACTGATCAGAAGGTAGGTGTTAACAAAAATGGAGTTCTTCAAGGGCTGAAAGAACTGGGACGTATGTATAATTCAAATCCCTTAAGTGACTTGCCCAAGATAGCATATTAGTTACACTGGTGGATCTAGTGGTTCATCACTACTCTCTCACTCATTCATTCAGCTGTTTATTGGGTACTTATTCCAGACTTCTAATAACATAGAAAACACCATTACAAAAAATATTTTGAAATCTTAGGTAGTGACCGTAGCATCAATATTTTTTTGATCTTGTGTAATAAAAGGTCTTTATTGTGAATCACATCATACAACATGAAGATTCTCCTAAAGATTCCATCAGTAGTCTCTAGTTTATTTCTTGGCTCATGGATTTACCATGGCTCTTTTTCTGTTTTTTGAATGAAATAACTTAGATCTTTTAATTGTAGTATAATTTTGTCTTTGCAGCCAGGATTTATTAACATAGTGATTAATCAGTTGTAATAGAATTTCTTGATAAATTGTTCTGAAATGATATACCATTCTTTAAAACCGGAATTATGTTTTAAATAATTTTTAGAATACTCAGATATTTCTGATTTTAGGATGGTATAGAGATATTGTAGACATTCTCTTATAAATATCTAATATTGTGCTCCCCCGTTACTATCCCATTTAGCCTTTAACTTACCACATAATGGCATATGCATTTATAATTTATAAAGAAAGGTGTTGTTTATAGCACCTATTATAAACATGCTTAGAAAAGTAACTGTGGAAGTTTCCAGGTTTTTTTCTAAAAAAATTCTGTATGTTTTTCCAACTGTAGCAAAGTTTGTGAGAATAAGTACTGGTTACAACAGAAAACATACTGTAAATGAAAAGAAGTTAAAGGTAATGGATTTGGTCAAAACAGGTTTTGATTGAGCTCTAGCTACCACAAATATTAGTAAATTATAAAATAATGAAAAGAATCCCTATAGCAACATTCATGTGTTATTCTCCCCACTGAGACATAAAATAAGCATTATACTGCTACATTTTAAAAATGTACATATGCTGCAGTTTAATTGGACTTATTCTCTTATTTTTAAATATGTTTTTCATTGATTTTAAAGAGAGAAGAAAGGAAAGGGGGGGAGAGAGAAACATCCATCAGTTGCCTCCTTCACGCCCCCTTCCTGGGGATCGAGCCACAACCCGAGCATGTGCCCTGACCAGGAATTGAAACGTGTCGCAAAAAGGTTTCTCTCTTCCATCTGCAAAAGCCATTCAGGAGTTGCCTATAGCTGATTTCTGGAAAAGATATTCATTAAACATAATAACCTATTCTTGATTTGGGCCTAAGATTAACAAAGTTGGAATGTCTTCCTACTTGAAATAATGCTAAAATCATGGTGGTTTATTTTGCTTGCTCCTTAATAAACATACTTATTTTAGTGGTTGACTTGTTTCACTCTAATTCGGTTTAGTGATCCTTTTAAAATATGAGTTTGGGGCCATTTCCCTTTTTTATTCACCGTAGTCTGCTTGAAATGGTCTGGCTTTCTCAACCCTTTTCTCAAAGTGTTTCCTTCTCCAAATGTTATCAAGCCTTACCATGGTGTTCACACACACACAGAGAATGATAATCTTTCTCAACAAAGAAAGATTCTCTTTACTTCTGCTGAGACATACAACAAATAAAATCAAAACAGATATAGCACTGCCACTTAGAAACGTCTCTGCCCAGGGCTGCATATTTACTTCATTAATACAGTACCCTGTGCTGTGCCTGGCACTCTGAGGCTCTCAGTAACTGGTTGAATAAACGATGGACAGATGACTAACATATGTGGCTTTCACTCTGATGGGGGAAAAGGCATGCAAATAGCTAGCTAACTGTAACTCTCTTCTTAAACCATTTCTCTCTCTGCAATTTATTAAGCAGCAACTTTGATGTGACCAGAAAGCTAAGACCAAAATAGCTGAAAAAGTAATAGTTATAAAACTGATTTTAACTAAAAGCCGATGATTAAGTCTTATAAAGCCAGCCAAACAGATTTGAAGGGGTGTTTGTTTTTTTTAATCTTCTCTTTTTCTTTGAGGTCCTTAATTTAGGGTGGGCTTGTTACCTGCTTGAATAGTTGCTAGAAGAGTTTAGAGCTGACCATCACTGCGGCCCATCTAAAACATTGTCCCGTGTTCCATATCTCTGTCACTGGTCCTAGAAGCCTAGACTTCAGAATAAGCTGTTATCTCTAATGTTGATAATAATAATTAACTGAGCACCTACCATATATCACACTGCCAGACACTTAGCATACTCTATCTCTGATATAACAACCTTAAGATTAGGTATTTCTTTTCCCCATATTATCAGTGAAGAAATATGTTCAGAAAGGTTAAGTAATTCCCCAGGGTTATCCAACTAGTAGGATGCAGAGCCAGGGTTTTAATGCAGGACACCTATCTGACTTAAAAACCCAAGTGAGGATTCATGAGTCATCTTTCCTTGGGTCCCCACAACATTTAGAGAAACAAGAGCAGCATTCACCTTGGATTTCTAATCCAGCTGCCAGTTGTGTGCTGCAGTTGGAGTTCATCCTGTAACTCCAGTTACTCCATCTCGGGAGCAACACCTGAAGGAAGTCAGCAACCTGAGATGTCATAAAGACCACAAACTGATCATTGCAGCACAACTGACCCATAGCACATCGTGAGAGCTGTGCACATTTCCAGTAGAGCCGACTACAGCATATTATTTTGTGACTGACAATGACACATAATATAAGATCCTGAAACCTGGCATCTAGTTCTCACTTAAGACTCAGCGAAACTGGAGGGGTTGCCTCTTTCTGGGTCTTTTATTGTCTGGCTTTACAGATGTTTTTCTGCCCCACTGGCACTTACGATTATTGTTTTTTTCTTTGTTTCCAAGGCCTTTAATACACATTGCAGAAAATTCCCAGTCATTCATAATTCAAATTTTAAATTACAGAATTCCCACTTGTTGTATTATTAATGATGTTTCTTTTCTTGCATCTACAAAAAGCTGCCTGTAAATGACCTGATGTGAAACGATTTTTTTTTTTTTTTTTAGGGTCCTGCAACTGTGTACATCTCTCAGCTATCTCTCATTAGAGGCTTGTGTTTCGCAGCCCTCCTTACCGCCCTGTAACACAGTTGAGATGGCTGGAGGTATTGGGATTCTAGATTTTGACAGGAAATTAGTGTCCAGCTTAAATCTCAAACTAAAAAGGAGTTCTTTTCACAGATCTCTATCAGGATCAAACTACCCTTTGGCCAGAACAATTGACAGTATCATTGCCAATAATTAATTTCATATGTACAACGACTTTTAGCAGTTATAGATTAAATTTTAAAGAAGAAGTTGATAACTTCATAGTAACCCTTCATGGGCAAATGTTTTTATTCTCCAGATTATCATTTCCTTTATGTACTTGCTATGTTTAGGCATCAGCTGCTGAATCCTATCAATTCTGTCTTTAAATTATCTTCTAAGTCTGTAGCTTCTTTTCATATACCACCATTATTGCCTTAGTTGAGGATGTCACTGTTCACGAAGCCCATGATCTCAGTCCTCAAGTTTCAACTTTCCCTACTTTGTTGTATTTTTCTATGATGACATCTGACTTAAAATGACTATGTGAGCCCTTCCTTTCCCTCTCCTAGAATCCAGTTATTCAGTTTTTCTTTTGTAGCTTTGTCTTTTCATTCCTCCATCTCCCTTTCCTCTGACATCACCTTAGTCGTCACTGCACACAGGTATCCATTCACTGACTAGCCTCCTAGGGGCCTGTCCTTCAGCAGTCCCTTCGCCGTATAGTCTGCCTTGCACACAGACACACGAAGTGTAGTTCTGAAATACAAATCTGCACTTGTCACTTGTCCCTTTGGTTTCCCCAGAGGCAGAACCCGAGACGAGGAATCAAGTGCAAGTACTTGATCTGGGAGGGAAGAGAAGGAATACTGAACATGAGAAAGGGAAGGAAAGGCAGCCAAGAAAGAAGACACTATCAAACCAGTTTTCGCTGTAAGCAGCTGGAGCTTACTCTTCCCGGA